ATAAATTTAAACCTTAACGTGCCCACAAGGGGGGATTTAAAATGACAACTTTTTCACAAAAAATTAACTTTTTCAACTTAAATTTTGAAAATGTTCCGGAAGGTCTGACACTTTTATATATATCTTAAATTGAAGCTAATGCAATGTTTTTTATTATGCAAAAAAAAAATTTCCGACTTTATTCTATCTTCACGGTGAAAATGGCTACCGAATGCTATTTTTGTGTGAAAATTTTCGATTTTGTATTTTACATTTTTAACTTTATTATGCTATAACTTTTTGAAAAATGTATGGATCAGTACAATTTTTTTATGAGGAGTAGTATTCATATACATATTTCATTTGACATTCTGTTTTTTTAAATCGGACCATTTCCCTATATACAAGGGGGGTTCAAATCTAAAAAATGCATGTAAAAAGTAGAACTTTTTCAACTTAAATTTTGAAAGTGTTCCGGAAAGTCTGACACTTTTATATATATCTTAAATTAAAGCTAATGTAATATACTTTATAATGGTAAAAAAAAATTTCGGACTTTATTTTATCTTCATGGTGAAAACAGACATTAAACTTAATAAAAAAAATACGATTTTTGTAAAAAAATTCTTTTTTATATTTTTAACTTTATAATGCTATAACTTCTCGAAAGATGTATGGATCAATATAATTCTTTTTTTTGTAGATGCATGATGTCTTTACCTATCATTTGGTATATATTTTTTTTATATCTGACCCTTTACCTGCCCACAGGGCGGGACTTAAAATGACCACTTTTTTACAAAAAATTAACTTTTTCAACTTAACTTTTGAAAGTGTTCCGGAAAGTCTGACACTTTTATATATATCTTAAATTAAAGCTAATGTAATATACTTTATTATGGAAAAAAAAAATTTCGGACTTTATTTTATCTTCATGGTGAAAACAGACATTAAACTTAATAAAAAAAATACGATTTTTGTAAAAAAATTCTTTTTTATATTTTTAACTTTATAATGCTATAACTTCTCGAAAGATGTATGGATCAATATAATTCTTTTTTTTGTAGATGCATGATGTCTTTACCTATCATTTGGTATATTTTTTTTATAAATCTGACTTTTTACCTGCCTACAGGGGGGGATTCAAAATGACAACTTTTTCACAAAAAATTGACTTTTTCAACTTAAATTTTGAAAGTGTTCCGGAAAGTCTGACACTTTTATATATATCTTAAATTAAAGCTAATGTAATATACTTTATCATGGAAAAAAAAAATTTCGGACTTTATTTTATCTTCACGATGAAAATTGCTACCAAATGCTATTATTGTGTGAAAATTATCGATTTTATTTTTTACATTTTTAACTTTATTATGCTATGACATATTGAAAAGTGTATGGATCAACAATATTTTTTAATGAGAAATAATATTTTTTAATAATCTCTTTTTCATTCGACATACTTTATCTTAATTAGGATATTAATAATGAACTAGCAGATCATGTAGCTTTTGGAATAATCCACCAATTTTTTAAAATTAAACACTATCTAAAGATNTACGAATTTTTTTAAAATTAAACACTATCTAAAGATTTGCATCGAAGCGTTTTTTTTTGATAGTGATTTTAATCACTGTCAGATATCATTATACTTGATCCAACTATGCCACGTCACCAATGTGCTCGACCCCCCTGTGCTGGGTTTTTAAAATTAAACACTATCTAAAGATTTGCATCAAAGCGTTTTTTTTTGATAGTGATTTTAATCACTGTCAGATATCATTATACTTGATCCATCTATGTCACGTCACCACTGTGCCGCGACCCCCCTGTGCTGGGTTTTTTTTTATGTTTTTAATAAACGGAATTAGAATGTGTATATATCATGAATGTCTCCAGAATGATTTGATCAAAAGTTATAACAACATAAAAATGCAAACTCTCATTATGATATTTTTTAACATTTAAAAACAATAAAATTGTATTTACTGCACAGTTAATTTGATTAAATTAGTGAAATTTTCCTGAATAGTAACCATTCCTAAGTATTTAAAAAAAAATAGCAAATTCTTTGTCTTACAATTCCATGTTATTCAAATCTATTTATTATACATTTTTTAAAGTATCTAAAATTATTCCTTTTGTCAGGAATGTAACACCACTACAATTTTTAAAGGAGCAAAAATTATTTTTAAAATTGACCAACAAAATTTATCAAGCTACACTCGCTATTTCAATATCACTATGTACAACTTTATTTATGTAGAGGGATCCAAATTTAATAGAAAGATAAACTATTAAGCTCAAAAAGCTCTACAAAAATACGTAGTTAAATAATTTTTTTTCGTCCCTTCAGATATAAAAATTCTTAACTACAATTTTTTTAAATAACAATCTCTAATTTTTACTTGACAATATGATAGGAAAAAATAACGCTAAATACAATTTTAAGGTATCGTGTATTCTATTTAAGTTTATCAAAAAAAAAAATTTAATTCTAAATTTTGGTTTTTGTAATATTTTATTGTATTATCATATTTATTACTAGGTGTACAAGTAAAATATTTCGGTTCATAAATATATTTTTTAAATAAAATTAAATTTTTATAATAGCTAAAATAACTAGTCTTTAATTTATACAAAATTCCTGTTTTTAAGTTTTATGCAATTCATTAGATAATTAATCAAATGGCTAATTTTTTAAAAAAAATTATAAAGGGTTGAATAATTTAAAGCTATATCCAAAAATATTATTTTTGGAAAAACGTGAGATGAAACTTTTGATTCTAATGCCATAGCTATCTGATCAATTTTGTAAAGTCATGACTTATAAACACATTTATTTCATATTAATTCAATCATGTACTAACATTTGTATTCAAAAACAATAATAATCAAATGGTCAATTTATTACAAATTACAATTTGGTGCGAAAAACAAGTGCAAAATATATTTTTATGGGAAAAATAAAATGTATTCAGCTGTATGTAACAATAAATTAAGTAGTTTTAAAATAAGTACTTCTCTACATTGACAAAAAAAATGAAATATTATAATTGCTCAAATAAAATGATTACAGTTTAATAGTAGATCTAAAAATAATTATATACTGCTACTTACAATATATAAACAGATTAAATCTAGATCTATTTCATTAAAATCTTTGAAAAGTTTTACACATTTATCGAATTTTAATTTCATTAAATCGAGAAGTATGAATTTAATTTTAATTTTTTCAACATTTATGATATTATCTCTAATATCTGATTCATGCTGTAACAATAAGCCAACCCATCATAGGTTAGATTTTGTTACAAGTACTACTGCATGGGAAATGTTAAGTACAAATAAATATTATTATGATCATTATGCAAATGAAGAAAGTTTCACTTTAGATTTTGAAGTGGATAAAACATATGATAAAAAATACATAATAGGTAGTATCGTCTTAAATTCACTTTATGTCTGTCTTATTGAACAACTTTATAAAAAGTATTCAAATGCAGCAAATTACTATAAGAATAACTTAATTGAACACGATAATAAATTAGAAGGCTTACAAAATGTATGGAGAAGTATAAAAATGTTGGAACCTTTGATAGATCAAATGATAAATGGTCTTCAGTTTTTTAATTTTGAAGAAAGAGCTGTGCTTGACAATCTTCAAAAACTGAAAACATCATTTAATAAAATCACTGTCGATGGGTTACTTGGTGAAGATGAAATAAATGAAAAGTTTCAGCAAATATTCAACGTCGTAACATTTGATGATAGTCTTAAGATATTTAAGTACAAACACGTTGGTGAAAATTATAGGGAACCATTAATCATTAATTTTATTAACTCCTTATGTGGTGATGACAGTTTTGATATTATAGATGATACATTTATAAATCCTGACCAAATAAATATTCAACAAATAATTAAAAATGGTATTAAGGTTTTTCATTTTAATTTAGGATTAAATTTTGATGTATATGAAAAACATAGAAAAATAGATACAAATTCCCGTTTATTAGATAACTGAATACATAATGTCAAATTTGTGTTGTTTTTTTTCTTTAAATAAATAATTGTCTATTAATTTAAAGTCTTAATTATTTGTTTTTTAACTAAACCTTTGTTTGAATTTTTATCTGTATGTCATAATTACTTGGACGACATTTATCGACGAGTTTTATCTGCGACTATGATGCTTGTTTCTCTCTAGTACTGATAATAAGTAATGTTACAATTCATTTATAAAAAAACTCATGGTTTTCATGTTATTTAGTAATTATTTATTGCTATCTGCGCATGCATTAATAACAATTTTGAGTATTACTAACTTAAAATTAATAATAAAAAGCAATCACAGTGGGGTCGCAGCAGAAAAGTGACAAATATATCTAATATCTTTTAGCGATTAAAATCACCATCATAAAAAACGATTCGATGCGAATCTATAGATAGAATTTAATTTTTAGATGGAATTATTGAATTATTCCAAAAGCAACAACAACTGCTATTTAATAATGATTGGCCCCATTGCCGAGTGACCAGCACTTAACAATAGCTAGTTTTTCAACCAGTTGTGTTATTTAAAAAGCTATGTAAAATTTTGTTCACATTTATTAAGTAAAAATTATTTTAAAAACGGTAACACAGCGTGAAAGTGGCATAGTTGGGACAAGTATAGATGATATTTGACAGTGTTTAAAATCACTATCATAAGAAACGCTTCGATGCAAATTTGTATATAGTGTTGAATTTTAAGGAATTAAAGGAAAATAAAGTATTTTGCAACTCTCGTTATTTATATGAATAACATAAATTATAATTGCCTAAAAATTAGATTTTGTATTATCCAAATTAAAAAAAATCCGTTTTATAAAATAACAACATACTTATTTAAACAATTAAAAATTTTTTAAAAAATGTTTTATAAATATAAAATGTTTTCCTTAAAAATATTATATTTACCAGACATAAATATTCCTATGCGATCTTATAATAATTTTTGTTCATGTAATTGTTCACAGTTTCTCTTGGAGGTACTGCATCTTTTTTTTTGGGATGTAGTGTATTGTCTTTTGTTGAGATCGCATATTTCTTCACAATCAGATTGTTTTGGTACGTCAGATATAAAACAGATTAGTGCTTATACTGTAATGTATCATTAAAAAATAATCAAGTTATGTACTAATTTATAATTCTTTTTTTTCTCTCAAATTATTTTTAAAATAATTCAATATTTTATCAAATTAAATAATTCGATAATATTATATTGTTAGAATATAAATTGTTAAAAACTGAGTGTAATTTTTTAAAGAAAACTAAAATACATGTCATTTTTATTTTATTTATTGACTATTTATTATAATAAAATCTTTAATGTAACCAAAAATTTAAACAGAGGATGGATGACTGGTACGGACTTCTAAAATATTCCAAAAAAATTTACACAAAACATGATTTGGTAAGAATATGTTATGTTCCTACCATTTCTGCGCATTGCCTACAATAAAAATTACTGCTGCCCCCAACCTCCCCCAAATTCCAATTTGAAGCTACCCGTATGATTGGGTTGGGTTTGGTTTAATTTGTTAAATGCTTTATTGGCATACGAGATACGCAACAATGTGTGCGTAATTTGATGCCGTACGCTGTACTGATCATGGAAGTCAAGGGCTAGCACTTGAACCGATCCAGGAGAGCAGCGATCGACTTTATGAACCGTGAGGTCACGGTCAATAACATCAAGGTGTGCGACGGATTTATAGTGGCGAGGATTGGCGTCATCGACATCTTGAGCTACTACGCGTCACTATACTAACTATACTAACCCTTTGACTTTTAGGCCGTCGCGATCTGCCTGAGGGTTAACTGTGGCGAAATCGTTGATGAGGATTTTAAAGCGAAGAGATCTGAAAAAATGAATGACATATAAACCAAATAGTTCAATATTTTAATATGAATAAAAAAGTGCTTCTCGCAAAGTGATAGGATTTTCAATATTCATTGAATATTTTGTTTGAATGTTATTTATTATTATTTATTTTGAATTTTTTTTCCACCTCATAAAAAAATTAAGAAAAACATGTAAAAAAGTTTATTTAATTAGCGGGATTCGAAGACTGCTAAATATACGACGCAGTAACCGTACACTACGATTACGATAAAAAGAACTATTTAAACTAAAAAAAAATTCAAAATCACTTTTCTTAACTTTGAAATGGAAAAATAATCAAAATAAGTTTAAATTTATGTTTAATGTAAGTTAGATTTATGTAAATTTTATAAAATGATGGTAGATTTATTACTATGGGTAACCCTTGTAAGATATTTTAGAATAAACAAAAAAAAAAATTGAACGCAAATAAAACATGTACGGAAACCATTTGCACGTAGATGTAGATCATCGGGATCATTTTTTTATTTAACATATAGTATGTAACATAACCTTAAATTTGACGTATGTTTCAAAAATGCAATGTTTCTGGAATATTTTTTAAACTTAAGTAAAAAAAGTTGAGTTTTGTAAAAAAGTTGCTATTTTGAATCCCCCTGTGGCCAAGTAAAGATTCAAATTTAAAAAAAAATTATACCAAATGAAAGGAAAATACCTAAAGTCTCAATATAAAAAAATATTATTTTGATTTGTTAATATCTCCAATAGTTATGGCAGTGTTAAGAAAAAAAAGTGAAAAAAATGTCAAATTTTTTTAAAATTTCGATCTTCAAACATATGTTAAAATAAGAGCTGTATTATGAACTATAAGTTAAAAAATATGAATATATCGTGTTAAATTTTCTATTTTCTATTCCATTTTCCGACTTGCTATAACTTATTGAAAAAGGAATGAATCAATAAAAATTATTTTCCATTAATACTTCATGGATTTTTTTTAAATATTACATTTCAAATTAATAATTTCACATTAAATTTATTTACTATAACAACATGTATTTATTTAAATAATATACCTCGAAAACATAAAACTTATTTACGTTGCTTTTTAAATAATACTAATATTCCTCCTAAAAATTAAACTCTATCTACAGATTTGCATTGAAGAATTTTTTATGACACTTATTTCAATCACTGTCAAATATTGTCTTTATATTTCCACATTGATCCACGATTCTAATGTTCTAAGATATTTTATTATATCTTTTTAATATAAATAAATATACATATACACACAGTAAAAATATGTAATTAACATAATCACCATTTAAAATACATCCATGTATAATTAACTAGTTAATTTATTAAATAAACTAGAAATAATTTAATTGTAAATTCAAGTATTGTAATAATAAGACTTTTTTTATTAAATTTTTATAATTGTTAATATTAATATTATACTAAATGTTCCCGCGTGTACAACCAATAAATAATTGTGTAATTCGCAATTCATGTTTATTTAATAATAATAATTAAAATATTTACTGAGTAAATATAATTAATTATAAAACATAAATGTGAAAAGAAATTAATTTTTTTTACTACATTTCTTGAGTTTCTATTTGTACTGGCGTTGGAGGTTCTACAATTATTGATTTAAATTCCAATTCTAGATTCATAAAAAGATATATAAGACTATAAATTAATATTTTAATTAATATTTTTTTATTTTAAGTACCAAGTTCAAGTGGCTCCTCTGGTGACGGTAAAACCGTTTCTTCGGTAATTGGATCAAATTTAAATCCCAGTTGAAAATACTTTTCTAAAATTACTGTCTTGATATAATCTTTCATTTTTTGGTTAAGAAGTTGAAAAATATTAAATTTAATCCTTGGTTAATAATGGCTCTATATTCTTGAACCCATTCATTCCATAAATAATTGACATTATTAGGTACATATTCACAAAAACTGTCAGTTTCAAATTTTAAATCTGATATTATTGTATTAGAAAATAAATATAAAATTTCAAATTTCGCTGAGTTTGTAAATCTATCATCACATGATAGACTTGGGTCATTAAATTTGTCAATAATATTTCCTATTCTATCTAATAAAGGACTCGTCATGTAGGGCTTTTGGCGACACATTTTAAAATTAGCCCATGGTACATGATGTAATAAATCGAAAGTGTCCATTGCGTTTTTCAACAATGTTGCTATCGGAATAATTAATAAGGCTATTAGGTTGTTAAAGTTGTTGATATAAATGCATTCATTTATCAAGTGGTTTTTTTCTATATTTTTATACATTTCTTGCCATTTGATAATAATTGAAAAAATATTATGTATAACTTTTGCATATGTGCAACCAAGATATACAGTCAAGGCTCGAATCTTTTGCTCACCTTTATTATAAGATATAGGTGTTTCAATCAGATTTTTAAGATAATATGTTTTATTGCAATATTTTATAAAGCTTACATCATTTAAATTTTTCCATCCCGGATACTTTAATAACTTATCTAATTTAACAATTGATTTTTTTTTAGAACTGTATGCTTTTGTACATAAAATCATATAAAATAATAAAAAATTTAACTTGAAAGTTTTAATAAAAACATTTTGAAAATAATTAAAATATTTATCGTTGAAACTTTAAAAAAAATATATAATTCGACGTTTTGTCAAATGACACGTATTTGTTCTGTTCTACAATTAGAAATATTATGAGTAATATTTATAATATAACATTTGTGCTTATTTTATATATTTGTTGCCTCGTAGACTTGCAAAAAAAAAAATTCCATACGACTTAATTAAATAAATGAAAAGTAAGAATTTAAAGTGCTTAATATAATAAAAAAATAAATTTGATAGATTTAATTACATTTTTTAAGTTTGTAAATTTCCATATTTAGTCGTTTATTTTTTTTTATTTATAGTATGTAACATAAGCATTAATTTGACATATTTTTAAAAGACGTATTTATAAGAAGTATTTTTGGAACATTTTCAAAAGTTAAGTTTAAAAAGTTACGAAAATAAGTAACGCCTACACGCAGGGCCCTAATTGTAATTAACCAATTAGAATAGAAAGCCTCAGCTTCCAGGATCACGGTAAGGATCGCTGGGCTACCCTCTTCAGGCTATAAAAAGCCATTTTCCCCCGCCTGAACCAGTTCTTTCGGCCATTTTAAAAGACACAAAATGTACGACACTATACTCAAGATTTCACTCAACGGGACTTATTCGATTTTTAATTTAATTTGGACTAAGAATATTTTTCTTTAAAACTAAATGACACTTGGAAATTTTAAAGTGAATTTTGTTTTGGTGAATCTTTTAATTAAGTTTAATTTGTTCATTAAATAATAATGTTTTGTTTTTATTGTTGTGGAAATAAATATCAAATAATATTTTAAACATTAAATTATTTTATTTTAATAATAAATCCAACTCAACTTTAAATTTTATTTAATAATAAAAATTCATTGTGAGCTTTTCTTATTGGGTAGCTAGTCTCGTTGCTAATGTCTTTGTTTTAACAAACATCGCGCCGGCAGACAACGTAGAAAATCTTACGTGTATATTTGCAATGTTTAATTTTTTTCTTGGTGATTATTGTGCCGCATCCTTTCAAGGCGATTTCTATTGCTGAGACACATTGGGCCGCCACAATTCCGCCTTGATAAATTGTTTACATAGATATAAATAGTTCTGAATTTTGTTTTGGCCAGGCCAGAGGAAAATTTAATATTGGTGTCGATCTCTCAATAAAATAGATTCTCTCTCAAAAAAAATACTTATTATATAAGTATTTTTATAAATTAATAATTAGTAATTATTGATTATAAATTATACTTCTAATAAAATATAGAGTGTTTAAAATCTTTCACAAGTAAGATCAGTCGTGGACTTTGTGTAATTAAATCATATTCTTTAAAATTTTGAATAGTTTTTGTAAGTAATTATATGGACTATATGACGTGTAGTATACATCGTATATGAACCATTAATAAAAATTAAATAGGAGAATTAATAATGAATAAGGGAGACAATTGATAAGATAATGATTTAATAAAAATTAAAGAGAATAATTATAATAATAAAAATCATATTAGTAATATTAAATATATATAATAATTATTTTTTAAATTCTAATTTCTTTTCTTTCTTATTATTTTTGATTTATTACAACAAAGACGCCAAACGACAAGGCATTGCCTTTAATAGATGACGATGAAAATTTTTATTACGGTGCCATCGTTGATTTAAAATATTTTTAGAATAACATAATAATTCTGTCCAAATATTCATACGCGTGTACCTTAATAATACAGTATTTGGTGTCATATACAACTTAATTACACCGTTTTACTATAGTCATTTTTATTCTCAACCAATATTTTCAGAACAATTTATGCACGAATAAAATTTAAATACATAGCGGTCCGCTTAACAAATTTACCTTAATTATGTAAATTCATGTAAGTAGCAGACATTTATTTTTTTTCACCAATTCTTTTTTTGAAGTAAATAAACTTATTCACTTTAAATGGTTAAAAATAATCCCTAATTATATAGAATATCTGACTTGATCCACATCAACCCTTTACAGATTTAAATGATTAAATTTTAAGATTTTTATAGCGATATCCGTTAGTAGACTAGATCCATGTGAAATCTCATCTTTGTCTATATTTATGTATGTAGTTGGACTTTGTTTATTACAATAGCATAGAATTAATGGATGAAATTCTGTTTTTTTTTTTTTACTAAATACTATTTTTAAGAGACTTCTACTTTATTTGCCATTGTTAAATGTATCTTTACGATTAAGTTATTTATAAATAGATTATATTATTTGTATAGACTACTAACAAGTTAGTGCATTACAAAATAACAAGAATTTTTCAATAAAAGTAGCTATTTTTATTTTTAATATTTTGAACACAGAAAGCAGCTCCATTAGTGTATAGTATACCATATGTCGCTGCTATTATTATTTTTTTTTTAACAATTACTGAAAGAGGTATTGTATATATTGTGGTTTAAATATTCAATCCATACAATAAATTGAAAGGAATGTTTTCATATTTTCATAAAATATGAGTAGCGAGTGTCTAAGAGAATTTTCAAAAACCCCAAAACATAACTTATATATTTTACGACGATGACAAGGAGATAAGAAAAAATATTCGTATGTAAAACACAATCCAGAAAAATTTTAGATAAGCTAATGCTGTGGTTTATCTTGTATTCACCAGTTCACTAGTCAATCCTAGATAAAATAAAATAAAAAAAAAGTTTTTATAAAATCAGAATCAACAAAAAAGACAAAATTAACTTAAAATGGATAAATAATTTTTTAATGTTACAAAAATGAAAAATAAAATTTTTGACGACAAATTACTACATTTGTAACATTTAATGAGCCAAATTTTTATGTTGTCTTGTAAACTAAAAGTACATTCAAAGTTGCAACTCGATATGATATCAAAAAGTGGGTCAAAATTGAGTTCAAAGATTTGTAACATAATGGAGACAAACAAACAACAGGACATTAGGTTGGATAAAAAAATTCAATCTTCGAAATTTTAATGATAACCATTTTAACTTTATTATATACACTAAAATAGGCATTTTGTGAAAATTTGAGATTAATAAAAAAAAATTTTACTGATTGCTCAACGTTTTTTTAGTAATTTGACCAAAAATACCCAAAAAAACGGCCTCTGTTGTTCAATTTTTGGTCAAATATTATGATTAATATATCAAAATAGTTTAATTTTTACTGTAGAATACAATTATTTAGTTTCAAAATTTTAAGTCGAAAATTTATAGCATGGTTATCATAATGAACGTAATTATTACCGTCATTATGTGGTATATTTTTAATAGGTCTCAAGTAAGCTTTAAAATGAAAAAAAAATGCAGTTTGGCTGATATTTATGTATATTTTCAGTAGAAAAAAATTTTGAATCTTAAAAACTTAAATTTTTTTATAATTAATTTATAAGGAGGTATATTAACATCCGTGATAGTTTTGGTGCTGTTTCGACCTATGCTTGTTAAAAATAATTTCTAAATATTAATATGTATTTTTTATGGAAAAAAATATACATATCAATCAATGTACTTTTAAGTTTATGCTACAAGATATTTTGATAAGTAAAAAATGTTTTGCTATGTTAGAAACTGTTAAATTTGTTTAGTCTAATTTTTGTTTAAATGAGCTACGTTAATACGATCTATCGGATAAATAATAAACTAGCCCCCCTATTATCACCATAAAAATATAATAGAATAGATAGTAGTCTTGCGCTGAACATTTACTGGTAGAAACAAATATTATCGATTATGCCATTAACTTTAAATTTTCTTTAATCATCAATATGTAACAATAGAAAAAGTTAGTGACCGTTATTAAGATTACAAATTAAATTTTTTCGGATAGAATTTGATCATGGCCGCTTCACCAAAACGGACAGAGGATAGTATCTCTAACAACAATGAGACAAAAGAGAAAGGTAAGAAAAATTATTTATTTTTGTTAAGTGTTTTTAAGTAATGTATTATTTAACATATAAAAATAATCATTATAGATAAAGTAAAATCAAACTCATCAGCATCAAGTGATACATCTATATTAAATTCTGATGAAAACATTGACAAAGATAACAATTCTATCACTTCCGAGGAATTTGAAAATAAAACACAAAAAAAGTCTCAGATTAAAAAATCTAAAAATAGTGGTATGCTTAAAATTATGAATATTTTTATTTTATCATTATTTAACTACTGTGTTTTTAATGCCTTAGTTTTTTATATCACTGATATTTTGTAAATTATATAACATATACTCTTTTTTTATGACTTACAATAAGTTGTCGACTATTTTGCAATAGTCTTATATATTTTTAAAAGTAAAACACATTAAAAATAAAGGAACATAAAATTTTAATTCTGTGCTTTTACCTCCTTATTATATATTGATAAATATAAGAGACATTAGATTAAATAAATGTCTAACTCTAAATAAAAAGTTGTTATTTGGGTCAAGAAGGCCTATCTACAATAATAACAATTAAAAAAGATCTATTTTCAAATAACAACTGTTGAAAATCTAATTATGTTGGTAATATCATCTGGGTTATGCCTTTAAATAACCTCTCATTTTACTGAAGGAAACTTATATCATGTTGCTTACATACTTAAGAATTCTATAGAATGTATATATTTTCATGGTTTAAAAACAAACAATACATTATGTTTCCATCCAACGAATGTAAAAAATAATTTACCTACATTATTTCTTTAATCAGATAAAAATTACAGAAGATTTTTTAATAAATAATATTTTTACAAATACATTATTTGCAAATAACAGCTTTATTTTGAAACATTGTAATTATTGATAACTTATTAATAGGATATGATGTTTTTATCACAAATTTAATAAAACATAGTTGGCAAAAAACATTACAAAATATAATTATTATTAAGATATTTAATATAAATTCTTCTTTTAGAAATCTCATTAAATTAATAGATTTATGTATTTTTAAATGTTGCATTGCATTATATAATAATGCATAAGTACTCTATAAATAATATATTTCCTATCAAATACTAATGAATTCTAGCAAAGACAAAAATGGTCCTAAAATATTTTTAAATTATTGAGAATTTAATATAACCAATTAATAAGGTCTTTTTCCCATGTAGAATTTACTTAAATTTTGACATTTAAAAATGTATTTAATTTTAACTCATATTTGTGTTTTGTTGTACAATTTGTTTGCAATCATAGCCAACAGCTATTTATTTCTAGATAACTTCATTCTTCCTTAAAATATAAATAAGTATATTTCAAGGTGTTTTTTATGCAGTTAATAATTATAAATTTGAAATGAAAGAATTTTTATTATAATTTGTTGAGTTAGTGTTGAAGAAACTATTTTATACTCACTTACTTTGTTGTTAAAACTTGTTATATTTTTTATTTTAGTATTTATCTTTTGTATTGTTTTTACTGCACTAAGTAAACATGTATTGATATATTTTGTTTCTAAGATTTTACTTAATAAAATATTTAACCAACACTTTTGCTATTTGATTTATAAATTTGAATGCATCCTCATATTGGATGCTTAGTTGTATTTTTATTTACTACCCAAACCTTTATTAAAAAGCTTTGCTTTATTAATTAAATTTTGAATAATTTAATAAATTAAAATGTAACTGCTAAATAAAATAATAAAAAAAAATGATCTACAATATTATAAAAATATGAAAAAAATTCTGTATGAGAAAATATTTTAATGATTAAATCATTCATATTATAAGCATTTATATTTTAACAAGTAGAATATTTATAAATTATTATGAAAGATGGTTATACAGTAGAACCTCATTAATCGGGACTAATAAGGGCTCTAGGTTGTCTGATTTAATAAAAGTCTGGATTAAACAAAATAGCCAAAAAACATGTCCGTATTATAGATTTAAGAATATTATATTATACTAATTACTATATATGATATACAATATATATATATATTGGAACATTAGTTTATGATAACTTTAATGACGGAAGATAAGAATATATGTACTTATGGGAAATTCGAGGAACTTGCTTTTATGTTTATTTTAGTCTACGGCATAAACTGCGTATTTTTCGTAATATTAGACGGCTGTCCAGATTAAGCGAAGTCCGGACTAATGAGGTTCTACTGTATATAAAAATTTCCAACATTTTATAACTCACAAAAATTCTAAAAAAAATTGTGTTCAAAAATCTTATGAGAAAATGAATTTCTAGTTTTAGTTTTAGTTTTGTAATATTAAATATAATATTGAATTACATATGTCTGAAAATAAATGAAGAAAATTTAAATGTATTAATTTAACATTTTTTAATTAAGTTGTTGTTAATGTATTTAATTTTAAACTTTTTTTAGAGAAAAAAAATTCTAAAGATCTCAAAATTGATTCAATCGATTGTCCAATATGCTTAGGAACAGCTGTAATTCCTACACGTATAACTTGTGGTCACATATTTTGTTTTCTTTGTGTAAAAGGAGTAACTAGAAGATCGAGTAAATGTCCTTTATGTCGTCAGCCAATACCTTCTGATTTTGATAAAAATCCTACTGTATTGGAAAAGCATGATATAGAAACTCTTGAAGATGGCTATCAATGGTTTTATGAAGGGAAAAATGGTAAGACATAGTTTTTTTTTTTTAATTTAATACTTTATTGTATATATAAAAACAAATATTAACTATAAAAAAAATTTTACACAGGATGGTGGTTGTATGAGAAACGAACATCAGAAGAAATTGAGGAAAATTTTAAACTTAATAACATGAAATTTGATTTACTTATTTGTGGTACTATGTATACAATTGATCTGGATCGTAATATACAGTTTAACAAAGAAAACCCAGTAAGGAGAAGAAAAATAAAACGAGAAAATGCTGAAAACATTGCAGTTAAAGGAGTTGCTGGAGTTCATTAAAAGATTGTTTTTTTTTTTATATTTAAAATGTTTGTCAGATTTTTAACTTAATAAAACATTTATGAATTTCAATTATTATACTATTAAGTCTAAACAATTATATTTAGTACTTAAATCAAACTATTTAAGTAAATTTAATTATTTTTACCTTTCATGATTTTAGAATAACTTAGAATCTTGAGAGCTGTGTTATTAATGTTTCATGAGTCTAGTACATTTTGTTTAATGTTTATTCTTGGTGTTCATATTAAAAATTTAATTAATTTTTAATTGTATTATATAAAACAATGTTATATTTTTAATGCAATAAATATAAATAATATAATAAGTATAAAAGATTTAGGATCTCTTTTCACTTCCGGTTTTCTTTTTATTAAACATATTGATGTCATTTGCTCTAATGCTCTTAGAAATTTAAGTTTTATTAAACAAAATTACAATGACATGCATACTATTAACTGTTTAATTATAATATATTCTGCTTTAGTTTGATCTGGCTTGGAATTTGGTTCAGTTGTATGGAACACTAACCAAATATGTCCGAGTGATAAAATAGAAAAAATTCAAAGGCGTTTTGTCTGTTATTTAGCTTTTAAACTTGTTATGATAGGTAGCCCAATAATTGACATTGAAAAACTCTGCAATTTGGTTTCCTTACAAGCTCAACATAAATATATTGATTTTGCATTTATTTTTAAAATTATTAAAGGTTTGATTTATTGTCCTGGAATTTTAATAATAGTTAAATTTAATGACATTATCTGTTTCAAATAATATTATACTTAGGAGAAATACCTATAATATATATAGAATTTCAAAAAATATAAGATGATTCACTTATCATAAACCAAATTATGAATTGACAAATTAAAATAATATTAATTATTTTTTTATTTGTTTCTTCTAGTTCAATTTTTCAGTGATAAAGTTTTTTTTACGTTCATCCCTTATATCTTATAAGGGCGCCAACTTTAATTTTTCAAACAGAAATATCCCTCATTACCATTTATGAACCAGTTTTGTAATACTTATTGTTATATTCATATTTATATTTATATGAGAAGAAGAGTACAGCTGGGAAAAGTTTAATTATAAAAATAGCAGCAACCACTCTTTATCTCTAAACATTACTTTTAATTGTTATCCTTTGTTAAATATAAGGGATGAACATAAAAAAATCTTTATGGTTGAAAAATTTAGACAAAAGTAGAATTAAAAGAAACACATAAAAAATGTTTGTTATTATTTTTATTTTTTAAGTAATTAAGTGGTTCATGATAAGTTATTCATTCTGCATAAACAAGGTGATTGACTATGTCTCACAAATTTTCTTTATAAATATTAGTGTTATCATATAAGTAATTATTTTATTTGTTATAAATCATTGTTGTGCTACTTCTTCTTCTTCTTCTTCCTCGCCTTAATCATAACTACTTGAGGTCAGCCACCCTTATCCTAAACTTCCACTTGACTCGATATCCCACATCCTCTACGCTCACATCAGCTGTCCTCATATCGCATTCAATGACATCTCTCCATATCTTTCTTGGTCTTCCTCTACCTCTTCTTCCTTTAACATTCATTGCTACCCTTATTATAAACTTCCACATCATATTGTATTAACTAACATTTCTCCTATTTGATCTACACATTATTCTTTTAATATTCATTTCTATAACTGTTCTCACAGCTTTCGGTTCCTCTCTCCTCATAACATGACCAAACCATATAAGTCTATTTTCTCTCATCTTATCCACGATTGACCTATACTCCATCATATATGCTTGTTCCTTATCCTATCTTCTCTAGTCACTCCACTCATCCATCTAAGCATTCTCATCTCTGCTACACTCATTCTCTGCTCTACTTTCTTATCAACCGCCCAACACTAT